ACAATTGCACTGTACATGCGCACCCACACGTGGTATTTTGTGGAAGAGTCACACTCAAGGGGCCAAAGAGCCGCATGTGGCCTGCGAGCCGTGGTTTGCCGACCACAGCTTTAAACAATAAAGAATTCTTTTTAAAGTTACATTACAAATGGAAGAGGAATTTTTTTCATTAGCTTAAGTCGTGTGTGTGTGTGTGTGTGTGTATAAAAAACAGTTTATTTCAGAGAACATGGGAGAGGGAGAGAAAGATAGAAACATCAATGATGAAAAAGCATTGATCAGTTGTGTCCTGCACATCCCCACTGGGGATTGAGCGCCAAACCGGGATATGTGCCCTGACCAGGAATCAAACCATGACCTCCTAGTTCATAGTTGACGCTCAATCATTAAGTCACAGCAGCTGGGCTAGACTTAAGTCTTTAGCTGATTGTTTTGTATGTTCTCTGCTGGTCAGTGGAGTGACTGTTAATCTAGTGCCACCTTTGCTTTAATATATATATATAAAATGATAGAGTTTAAAATTTTTTCACTTATTTTCGCAGAGGAAGATTTAGAGGGAAAAACAGAAGAAGAAATAGAAATGATGAAGATAATGGGATTTGCCTCCTTTGACTCAACAAAAGTAAGTAAAACTTGAAGCCAGTTATGCAGTTTGAATTGAATTAATCCATTATGACTGTCCCATTTTTTCATATTTTTTTACTGTTGACTATGTAATTGCTTCCATTGATACAAGTTTATTCAGTTAAAAGACAATAACTGTCTTTGTGAAGCGGTTTGAGGGTACAGAGAAGGAAGCAGTGAGGCGCCATTGAATCCAGGCAGTGTTTGCCTGGGATAAGGTCGAGTTAGATCTTGAAGGGCCAGTACAAAGAAGAGGATGATCATTTTAAGTAGAAGGAGGAGTTCATGAAAATGCCCTGTAGACATGAAGTAGCAGTGTATTGTGGGAATTTCAAATTCAGTGGCTGTTAAAAAGATGCTGATGGGCCACTGACTACAATGAGGCTGGAAACAGAGGTAGGAAACAAATCATAGTGGACTTTTGCTGCCCTTTGCCATGCTAAGGAATTGAGAGTTAATTCTTTATATATATATATAGTTCATAGTTGACGCTCAATCACTAAGTCACAGCAGCTGGGCTAGACTTAAGTCTTTAGCTGATTGTTTTGTATGTTCTCTGGTGGTCAGAGAACATACAAATAAAATATATATTTTATTATTGATAGTATTGCAGATATCTCCAATTTTCCCTCCCTTCCCCCCTCTCTTCCACCCTCCGAAGAGATGATTCTTTAGGTGGTGAGAGAAAGCAAAGATTTTTAAGAAAATGAGTGATAGGATTTGTATGTGTTTTAGACAGATCACCTAGGGCAGCCTTGGAGCACATTTGGGAGGCATTTGCTAGATGTACCGGTTAATAATGTGGATTTTTTTCAATAGGTAGAGTTACACATATGTTGATATATATGCGATTTGATATGTATGCTATTTTGTTGTGTTGACAACAAGCTTCAAAACTTCATATGTCAAATTTTCTGAAGGTGTTAACATCATAGATATTTTTACGCTTAAAAATGTTGAATTTTGTGCCAAAAAAGCATCTGTGGAAAGTTTTAATTCATTACTTTATTTTGAAGAAAAGTGCTGCTGAAAGTTATCGTATACTTCGGGAAGCTTATGGTGAACATGCTCCATCTCAAGATACTTGTTCTTGGGAGGTCAAAATCCTGCACCTCAAGTAATATACCCATTATTCTTCCCTTCCCCCAAAATGTAGTGAAAACAGGAAAAGTAAGATCAAATATATTTATTTTAGCTCCACTTTAAATATGTGCCTCATTTGTATATGCCTTTAGGCCAGTGAGTAAGAATCCTTTTTTTTTCCCTAACACAGACTGGTAGGGCACACTCCCATGAGTAATAATGAGGAAAAGGGGGGATTGAGAGTCATGTGTGTGAGGGCTCTGTGTGTGTGTGTGTGAGAGAGAGAGAGGGAGGGAGGGAGAGAGGGAGAGAGAGGGAGAGAATGCAAGTGAGCGCTAACCGATGATGTTCATACATTTAACAATCATTTTCTGAGCACCTGCAAGTGCAGTGGCCTAGGATGTGAGTATGCAAAGGCATATCCCTCCCTCAAGAAGCTTGCAGTCTCATAGGGGAAATGACATCAAGTGTATACATCAGGTTGGAACATGGTGGGTATTGATGCCTCTGGATCATTTGAATTGAGCCTTGAATGATGTATAAGCACCACATAGTTGAAGATAACCAGTGGGAGTTGGGATGGTAATTCAGGCATGAGGAAAAGCAAGTGATGAGTTAACTTGGCTGATTCAAAAGACCCATAAAGGAATTAATGAAAAAGAGGGTAGAAGCCACATGAGAAAAGGCCAAGATATAAGTGACACTCAACATTAGCATATGTTACTCTGTATTCTGATTTTTGATTTAAAAACCCAAATTGCAAGGCCGTGTAAGAAATGGGATTTAGATGAATGGTGACCGATCCAGCCATAATTTGAAAATGTGAATTTTTCTAGAGAAAATACTGTTAACTTATATATGGTTTCAAAGAATTCTTTGACCAAAAGAGGTTAGGATCTGCTACACTATTTCCCTTCATGCCTTGCACATAATACATAAACCAGGCATGTCTCTTGATTTGAATATTGTATTATTTGCTTATGTGTGACTATAAAAAGGTGAACAGAAGTGTAATACTTGGGAGCTCATGAGATATCATCAGGATCTGAAAATTCTTTTTCTCATTGGCCTACCTCATTCTTAGATGGATCTTGCCATGTAAGTCTGTCTATAGGATGCAGTTCTTTTGATCAAGGTATTTAATGTATCCTTCCTGTTTTTATAATTTATATATTGCTTTTCTCTAGGGAAAAAAGTTGGATGGTTCTGTAAATGCCTATGCCATAAATGTGTCTCAGAAGAGGAAGTACAGGTATGCATTATCCCCATTATTATATTTGAACCAGTAATATAAATCATGTGCTTGAGAAAGAATTTATTATCGGATAATTATTTGTAGGAAATGTAGCAATCTTCTGTACAGTCCCTTGTTTCAGTCTTCCTTGCTTATATTCTGATGTGTTAATTTCTGATTTACATGTGAACTAATTATAGAGAATGGTAGTTGGCTTAAATCTTTTACAACTGTATAGATAGTTCTTCAGAACATTTTTAAAAGTCTTTTTACTTTAATTTCATTATAATTATAGATTTAAAAAATAGATCACTCCTGAATTACTCACTTGGATTGATGATGTAAGGATTTCAACTGTAAATATATTAGTACACACATTTTATTAATAGCATGGGACAATTCATACTTGAAATCTTACTGAATTCCTAATGAATGGAAAAGTCAAGAACACGTCTTCAAACATTGCCTTACTCTCTACCATTATCACTGATAAAAGACTAATATTCCAATTAATTTAGAATATGAATAATGTGATTTGAGAATGCTGGTGAGTTAACACGTTAAGCGCCCAGCCTGTTTTGTCTTCCGGACGGAAAGTATAGTGTCAGTCACCAGTGACTGGGCGTTTAACGTGTTAAGGAACCAGAATCATCACTGACATTCCTTCGTAAAGTTCCCTTTAAATAGAGTGTTACGGAGAAAACCAGTCCAGTATGCAATCAGATTTACTTGGCAGGTGTTTTGAACTCTGCTCTGTATCCTTTAACTAGGTGTTTGGTGTTACTTAAAATAAATAAATTGATTTTTTTCTAAGTCTGTGGAATCTTCTCAAATAATTTTGAAAGTATATTTCCATACTTCTATTTGGATTTTACAGAAATCTATAATGCCGTTGCTTATTTTGAAAGTGAAGTAATCTCTTCTTACTGTACATTAAATAATCTTGAGTACTTCTTACCTTATACTTTGCCATCTTAAAGGTTATTTATAGGTATAATTTCAGAAGCATCTCATTTTTTATAGAGAGAGGAAGGGGAAAAAAGAGAAAGAAACATCAATTTGTTGTTGCACTTATTCCTTGCTGATTGATTCTTATATGTGCCCTGATGGGGGATAGAACTTGCAACCTTGGTATATTGGGACGATGCTCTAAACAACTAAGCAGCCTGACCAGGACCATGGATATTTTTTCACAAGAGGAGTCCAGAATTTTTTTTTTTTAATGAACATTGACTTTTTCTTCTTGTCACAGGCAGTACATGAATCGCAAAGGTGGATTCAACAGACCTTTGGATTTCATTGCGTGAGAATTGAAATGTTGAAGAATGATTTTTCCCCCCTCATCATGATCAGAGTGGATTTTGTATTTTGTATTTCATATGCATCAAAACAGGACAGGATCACAGCCCTTCCTCCTTGTAAAGTAAGAAAATTTTATCTTTGATGTGTGCAGTTCACTTACTTTGCCTCAAAAGAAGAAATGTTAAATATTACATTTTTTTCTTTTAGGAAGTATCATTTGGGGCAATCATCAACCCCATTTTTTGTCTTATTCCTGTGGAAGCTGTATATGTTTTCTTCTTGGATGCTCGTTAGGACTTTTTAAAACACATAAAAAAGTAATTTGGATGTAAGTGTCTCAAATAAAGCAATTATTTCTACCTCTCTGTATTTGATAAAATTTTTATTACTGTATAAAATATCTCCCAGTACATTTTCTTTTTTCATGTATAGATTTAGATAGGATTCCTAGTAGTTAAAAAATTAAAAGAATGAAAAAGTATAACTGGATTTTTGTATCTTCTGAGGGTTTTTTCCTCAGTACCACTTATTACTTTCCCCCATTTTTAAAAGCAATAAATGCTTATTATTTTAAAAAAACCACACAAAAAAACCCACAGAACAACGTGGGATAAACCAATCAGTAAAAGAAAAGCCAAAATCACCTATAACCTTCCCCCAGGACCACTCAATGTTAATATTTTGGTATATATCTTTTCAGGATTCTATGGGTATATATTTCCTACTCCCTACCATGGGATCAGAATGCAGTTCTCTTTTGCTAATCCTTTTTCTCCCATGTGCTGTGAATATCTTTTTAATATTCTTACATATTCTTTGGAAACTTAGCTTTTAGGAGGTAGTTGGTTGTACCAAAATTTTTTATTAACTAATCATTTACTTGGTGAACATTAGCTTCCCTGCCATGATTTGCTTTAAGTAGTATCCCTGTTACATATATCTTTTTGTACTTGTTGCATTATTTCCTTAGGTTTGGTTCTTAGATGTGAGATAAAGGGGTGTGTGTGCGCGTGCATGTTTTAAGGGTTTTGGTACATATATATTGCTAGAAAGGTAATGGACTCTGACAGTAAGGTATAGGCATTCTCATTTCATACACAATTACTAATATTGGGTGTAATAATTTATTTAAAGTTTCCAATCTGATGAGTAAAGTATTGGTATTCGCTTTTAATTTATTTAATTTCTAGGGAAGGAGGAACATTTTAAAAACATGTTAGCCATATATATTCCTTTGTAAAATGCTAATTCTAAATCTTGGTTCCATTTGTGTTTTGGCAAGTTTTCTTTTTCTTACTTGAAGGAAACTTTTTATATTGAAGATAATAAACATTACCCATTCTGTTTCACATCTCATTGGTATTTGAGCTCCGTAGTTAGATTTTAAATTTGGGTTGTTTGTTTTTGAGTACAAGAACATGGAACACAATTTGGATAGCACAAAGGATATAAAGTGATGAGCTAATTGTGTATCTTCTCAGAGATATATGCAAATACATATTGTATTCATGTGTAAGCAAACTTTACATATTATTTTGCAACAAGCCTTTTTTTCACTTGTAAATCTTAAGATTATTTCTTATCAGCACATGTAATATTGCCTCTTTTTTTAATCATCAAGTATGGTTCATTTCAGAATGTTGTAATCTATTACTATTTTTTAAAAATATATTTTATCAATTTTTTACAGAGAGGAAGGGAGAGGGATAGAGAGTTATAAAACATCAATGAGAAAGAAACATCGATCACCTGCCTCCTGCACACTCTCTACTGGGTATGTGCCTGCAACTAAGGTACATGTCCTTGGCCGGAATCGAACCTGGGACCCTTGAGTCCGGAGGCTGACGCTCTATCCACTGAGCCAAACCGGTCAGGGCTCTATTACTATTTTTAAAAATTCTGTAATCATGGTCTTTGTATTTACATGATTTTATGTTTCTTTAGCTGAATTTTTAAATCCTTCATTGCATCTGAAATTTGACCATTTATTATAGTTCTTAAAGAGCTTCCCTGGCAGGTCATTCCATAGAAAGGAAAGAGTAGTAACCTACTAGTACACAAGGCTAGTACTCACGGGTTGTCTTATCTTTTCATCTCTTCTCTCTCTCTTCTCTCTCTCTCTCTCTCTAACTCTCTCTAACTCTCTCTCTCTCTCTCTCGTTGAATGTATTAGGGAGATACTGGTTAATAAAACCATACGGTTTTTAAAATAAAATAAAGAATGAGTAAATAAATAAAAAGAAAAGTAGTAGAATGACTGCATTAAATAATACAGTGTGCAGAGAGCACCTTGGTTCATTTGCTCCCCGTGAAACATAGCAGGCATTATTATCTCTGTTTCCCAGATGAGAAAGCTGAGGCTTTTCAGACCATAAAGGCAGATATAATTGGTGTTTATATTACAGGTTGCCTTCAGTGCTTAAATATTTGAATGTGCTACATTAGCTGCACAACTTGTAGTACCCATTGTATGAGTGTCACTGCCTTAGTCAGAATATTTTGCTTGGACTTTTTGCAAGCTGAGCTAAATAGACTCCCAAACCCCCACTCACCAAAACTTGTGTATCTGTAAATTATCCAGGACAAGGACTGTCTGACCATACATGTGCACACCCAATTGTTTAAATAGGGAAGCTAAAAATTCTGGGATAAAATAATATAACCCAAACCAAATTACACGTCTTTGGATTGTCATCTTCGTTTGGTGTTAGAAGAGATTTGACTTGAGATCCTCAATGCAACATAGTTGTAAAGAAATTATATGAGCCCAACTGTGGCTCAGTGTTTGAGAGAAGACCTATGAACCAGGAAGTCACAGTTCGATTCCTGGTTAGGGCACATGCTTGGGTTGCAGGCTCGATCCCTGGTGGAGGATGGGCGGGGGGTGCAGGAGGTAGCCTATCAATGATCCTCTCTCATGTATGTTTTTCTCTCTCTCACCCTCTCCTTATCTCTCTGAAATGAATAAGAATTTTTTAAAAAAAGAAATCTGAAAATATCTGGTAGGTCAGTAGGTATGTGCTCATCAGCTAACACCAAAGAAATAGAGGAGGAAATCTTTTAAAATCCAGAGATAAGACACCTCTGATCCTAAGAGAAGTCTTGGTTTGAAGGATCTTTTGTCCATCAGATTGTTTGATTCTGTAAGAATAACAAAGATGGAAAGAACATTCTCATCTTCCTCTAACAGGCTGCTGCCCCTCAATGGGCATAAATTACGCCAAATCTTCCATTTTCACATATCTAGATGTTATGAGTGCTTCAGGGCTCAATCCCTGGACAATTTGTGTGACTTCAAACATCTCCTGTCATGGCTCTTGAATTTATACTTCCAGCTTGACCATTTTACTGAATTCCAGGCTTGTACATGCACCTAGATTATTAGGTACCTCAAATTTAAAATTAACTGAACTCTCATTTCCCTGCCCAGCCTTCTTTGAGGCTTTCCCATCTCATTAAATGGCTCGCTCATTTCTCTGCTCAGACCAAAATCCTTAGGGTCATTCTTAACTCCTCTCTTTCTCCTGTACTCCATATCTGATTCATTGGCCAATTCTTTTGACTCTTATTTGAGAATATAATTTGAATCCACTTTTTTGTTCAGATTTATTGAAGTGTAATTGACATAAAATTGTAAGGTATTTCAAGTATACATCGTAGTGATTTGATACAATGCTGAAACTGACCACTCTTATCACCTATATAACCTCTTGCCTGGACTACTCTGGTGGCCTCCTGATAACTCCCCTTCTCTTGCTCCCTCTGTTTATCCTCCATCCAGCAGCCAC